GGAGGTTCTGGAGCTGCTGAGGGTACTGACGCTGGGGGTTCTGGAGCTGCTGAGGGTGCTGGCGCTGGAGGTTCTGGAGCTACTGGAGGGCCTGGTACTGGTGGCGCTGGAGCTGGAGGTTCTGGAGCTGCTGAGGGTGCTGGCGCTGGAGGTTCTGGAGCTGCTGGAGGTACTGGTGCTGCGCGTGCTGGCGTAGGAGGTTCTGGAGCAATTTGGGGTGCTGGTGCTGAGGGTTCTGAGTCTGCTGTTGCGCGGTCTCCTTGGAGTAGCCGCCTTCGTCCACGTGTGCCTCTCACCTCGCAGCAGCTGCACGACTGGTACGGTCGCCGTCAGGGTCGCGCTGCTGGAGCCCGGGGCTCTGCTGCTGGAGGTACTTCTGCTGACGTCCCTGGAGCTAGGAGTGGTGCTGGTACTTTGTCTACTGGAGGTACTGGAGCTGCTGGGGCTGGGGGTGCTGCGTCTGGAGGTGCTGCTACTGGAGACACCGAGGCTGGAGACCCTGGGACTGGAGGTGCTAGTTCTGGGGGTGCTGCTGCTGGAGACATTGAGGCTGGAGACCCTGGGACTGGAGGTGCTGGTTCTGGGGGTGCTGCTACTGGAGACACTGAGGTTGGAGACCCTGGGCCTGGAGGTGTCGGTTCTGGGGCTGGAGCTTCTGGAGCTGCTGGAGGTGCTGGAGCTGCTGGAGGTACTGGAGCTGCTGGAGCTGCCGGTACTGGTGCAGCTGCGCCGACACGACTGTTCTTCGCTCCGCCGTCTCCGTCGTCTCTGCCGCCGCCTGACTCTGTTCTTCGTCAGGTTCTTACTCTCCCGTCGTCTACTGGTCTTCCGTTACAGCCTGGCTCACCGCTGCCTGCTCCTTCTCCTTACACTGAGCAGACAGGTAGTCCTGCTGAGCGTCGTGAGCCTGCGTCGCGTCCTGTCTCGCCTGCTCGTCCTGGTCGTACCGGTCCTCGTGTTCCTCGTTCGCGTCAGCCGGCTGTCCCCAGCGCACACCTCGTAGTCCGTCGTCCTTCCTCTGCTCCGCAGCCTGTTCCTCTGCCGTCTCCTCCTGCGTCCTCTCTGCCTGACGTTCCGGACCCTGAGTCTGACCGGTTTCGTACTGAGCACCCTACTGTCACGCGTCTGTTAGCCACTGTTGTCACTAACCCGTCGTTTGAGTCTACTGCTGCGTCTGCCTTGGTTGCAAAGCTTGTTGCCTTTGCTACTGCCTGTCGTCTAGACTACGCCGCTAGTCTTGTTGCTGAGTCTGAGTCTGTCTGTCCTCCGTCCGTCGGGGGTGAGTGTGCTCTTGGCACGGACGTCCTTGAGGACAGGCTGGAGGAGTTCCAGTGCCTTGCGGCTGCTGTACCTCATCTCGTGTCCATGCTGATTGCACCTGAGGGAGACCCGGCAATCGCGCGTGAGTACTCCTCTCAGTGGCAGACAGCAATGGACGCAGAGATGGCATCCTGGAAGTCCACGGGCACTTACGTCGACGAGGTTCCCCCTCCTGGGGCGAACATCGTCAGTGGCATGTGGATTTTCAGGGTGAAGCGGCCGCCTGTCTTCAAGGCTCGTTACGTTGCTCGAGGCTTCAGTCAGCGAGAGGGAGTTGACTTCTTCCAGACCTTCTCCCCCACCCCGAAGATGACCACTCTTTGGGTGCTGCTGCACGTTGCCGCTCAGCGTGACTACGAGCTTCATTCTCTTGACTTCATCATAGCTTTCTTGTAGGGCAGCCTGCACGAGGAGATCTGGCTGCGCCGCCCCCCGGGCTTCACTGGGTCGTTCCCTCCTGGTACCCAGTGGAGCCTCCGGCGGCCGGTCTACGGTCTCCGCCAGGCGCCACGTGAGTGGCACGACACACTAAGGACTACGCTTGCGGCCCTTGGGTTCGCGCCTTCTACTGCTGACCCGTCGTTGTTTCTGCGCACTGACACTTCACTGCTGCCATTCGACATCCTCGTGTACGTCGACGACTTGGTTTTTGCCACTGCTGACACTGAGGCTCTCGCCCATGTGAAGTCGGAGCTGCAGAAGAGACACACGTGCACAGACTTGGGTGAGCTGCGCAGCTACCTTGGCTTGCAGATCACCCGGGACAGAGCACGCCGCACCATCACCCTGACTCAGTCACACATGGTGCAGCAGGTCCTTCAGCGCTTCGGCTTCACCTGGTCTTCAGCACAGGCCACTCCTCTGGCTACAGGTCACTCCCTCTCAGCTCCACCTTCGGACGAGTCCGTAGAGCCGAGTGGTCCTTACCCAGAGCTAGTTGGCTGCCTCATGTACCTGATGACTTGCACTCGACCTGACCTCGCGTACCCTCTTGGTCTTCTGGCTCGCTACGTGGCTCTTGGTCGGCACCGACCTGAGCACATGGCTGCTGCTAAGAGGGTACTGCGCTACTTGTGCAGCACATCAGGCATGGGGCTAGTGCTTGGAGGGACGAGCCCAGTTGTCCTCACTGGGCACTCAGACGCGTCTTGGGTTGACGACCAGACTACACAGCGGTCGTCACAGGGTTACACCTTCAGCCTTGGCTCTGGTTCTGTTTCTTGGCGGTCTACACGCTCGTCTTCTGTTCTCAGCTCCAGTTGTGAGGCTGAGATCTACGCCACCGCCATGGCTGCACAGGAGCTACGCTGGCTCACCTACCTGCTGACTGACTTGGGTGAGCGGCCTCGTTCTCCTCCAGTTCTGTACGTTGACAACAAGGCGGCCATTGCCTTGTGTGAGGAGCATAGACTGGAGCACAGAACGAAGCACATCGCTCTGCGTTACTTCCTGGCTCGAGAGTTGCAGCAGCGAGGTCAGCTTCGTCTTCGTCACGTGGCCACTCGGGCCAACACTGCTGATATATTCACCAAGGCACTTCCGTCTGGTGATCATCAGCGCTTTTGTACCCTGTTAGGTCTTGTGCCTACGTTTCCACACTTGCTGTAGTCTCTGCTTGTACTGTGATCTATATATATACATGCATGCCTGCTCTTGCTAGGTAGTCATCACTGCACTGTTATTGTTGCATATATATCTCTGCATGTGGACTGGCCTTGTGGCCCTTTGTTTGTGCTCAGAATGTGTGGTGACGTTGTGATCCACCCTGAGCTTGCTTTGCGTCTCTTGACTGGTCGTGTGACCCCTTATTCTCCCCCACTTTGCCTATGGGGGTGTGTCAAACATATATGCTGCATATTGTCTAGGCTGTAGTGGGGTAGCCCATATGGGGTACAACCCAATTAGGGTTTACTACTTGTACTCCTGCATGCTGCTAGTTCATCATTCCTGCTGCTAGATTCTAACATGAGGGAGCAGATGGGGGTACCCCCTCTCCCGAGCCGCCATGGCGAGGGATCTTGGTCCAGGGTTTCCGTCTTTCCAGGCAAGATGACAACACCCCCACCCCACTGCCATCCATGGCGTGTTGGCGTGGACCCTGCCACCAGTGGTGTGTTGTCTGTGTTCTCATTGGGCAGTTGTGAACTAGGTTAATCGTTCTCTGGTGTGATGGCTTCCAGCGCGGCAAAACGGTTCGACGCGCACAAGCTGTAAATACAACGCATGTGATAAGATTCCAAGTGTGTGGGTGGGGTGGGGTTTCGTGAATCACGCGAAGGTACAGTCTGTATACGCGTCGCGTACCCCCCCCCCCCCCCCGCGCGGTCAAGTCCGTTTCAGGGTGACGCACTGAAATATACTGATTCGTCAGTGTTACTTGTTCAGAAACACACATAATCGTCAGTGTGGCAAAATCACATATACTGAAATTTCAGCCCATAATGGAAGCATTTACTGATTTTTCAGGGAAAACAAAATCCAGAGCTACAAAATCAGCGTAATCAGCGTGTTTTACGCTGATATCTGAGGCCCTGGTGTAACACCTCCACAAAAACCATAAACAGGAGAAGAAGGGGGGTCTTATAATAATTTGTGTCAAAAGACGGGTCCTCTCCAGGAATGACAAAATAAAAGACCCCTGATCCGGATAGAAGTCCCAAGGGACTTGTATGCGGGGGGGTCTTCAAACCGGGAGATCACGGTAGCTCAAATTCGAATCATGTTCACTTCGTGTTCACATGCTACAATCGAATAAAAAACATAAACGTATGGCAATTTAAAAAATCACACACGCCTTAACAATCCCGCTGCACGCATGATCGCAGATCTGAGACTTGCCATGAGCAATGCCGGCAACTTTTTGGGAGATACCAACGGAGATGATTGAGTTTCTGTTTTTTGTCAAGAGGTTGTGTACCCCTACGCTGAAATTACGAAAATGATGCAGTCCTAGTGTAGAGCTCAAGAACACCATACTTATTTTGGAAGGACAAACATTCTAGGCGGGAGGTTTAACGATTTTGTGATAATATACGAAATTCGCAAGGAATAACAACCCCCAGGTCGTTTCCTGAGTTGTCCCCAGACTGTGTGGTTCCCCAGAGCCGCGCCCGCCACATCACCCACCTCACCCTCGTTGAAAGCTCCTGTGGTCGCCCGCTCGCCTTGTGATCCAACTCCGCTCCATCCAAACCTCCCACCACCGAGCACCCACCGAGCACCCACCGAGCACCACCAGCACCCAGCACGACGCGCGCGGCTGCGCCATGGACACGCTGCTCCTTTCGTCGCCCGTTCCGCGTGCCTCGCTCGCCCCGTCACCGGCGCGCACGTCGCTGCGCTCCTCGCATGCCGGCCGGCCGCTCCTAGCCGCCCCCAGGTACGGCCTCACTGGGCGAGCGGTGCCAAGCTGCGCGACATGCGCGGCGCGTCGAGTGCTTCTGGGTGGGTCCGCCGGCTGCGCGATGCCCCGCTTAATCTGATCCCGTGCGACGAGCGTCGCTCACGTTCGAGGGTTCTCCGCGTCGCACACCTCCTCCTTTCAGCATGCTACCAACTCGCGATCCGAATGCTGCTGCCGCGACGACAGCCGACAGTAATTTGCGCTTATATCGCGGACTAGGAATGTGCGGCGATTAAACAGCTGGGCCGTTGACGTGCCCGAGCTCATTGATGCGGCGATGATGGCGAGCAGATTGCTGCGTCGCACACGCTGGTCGCACATGCTGGTCGCAATTCTGGTCGCAATGCTGGTCGCACATGCTGGTCAAAATGCTGGTCGCACATGCTGGTCGCAATGCTGGCCGCACAGACGGACTCCGTGCTCCCTTCGCCTGTCGCTCACGCATTCCCCAACTTCCCCACCTTCTTCCCCCCCTCTCCTCTTCCCTCCCTCTTCCTACCCCGCCCTCTCACCGCGCCTCTCCCAGGCGTCTGTCGCTGCATGGGGGCCCGGCCGTGAGCAGCAGGGGGGGAAGGGGCGCAGTGCGGGTAGTGGCGGAGGTGGAGGAGGCGGAGATGGAGAGGGGGAGAGCCGCCATGCGCCAGTGGTGAGTGCGGAAGGGGTGGTGGGTGGGTTTTGAGTTGTGGCTGTCTCACTTGTTCACATGCCTCGCTCCTCCCATTCCTCCACCAGTCATCAATCTTCCCTCACTCCCGCCCTCCCGCCCTGTCACGCCTCTCACCATCTGCGTGCCTCCCTCCCGCCCGCTTTGATAGGGTGTCCGACCCGCCACCCCCCATCTCAAACTTTCCTTTGCTCTCCCGCACTCCACCCGCCACCCCCCATCATATCCCGCACTCTCATGCTCACCCGCACTCTCATGCTCACCCGCACTCTCATGCTCACCCGCACTCTCATGCTCACCCGCACTCTCATGCTCACCCGCACTCTCATGCTCACCCGCACTCTCATGCTCACCCGCACTCTCATGCTCACCCGCACTCTCATGCTCACCCGCACTCTCATGCTCACCCGCACTCTCATGCTCACCCGCACTCTCATGCTCACCCGCACTCTCATGCTCACCCGCACTCTCTGCTCTCCTGCACGCCACCCTGCCATGCGCGCACACAGCTCTACCATTCTCCGCCTCTCCCCCAATCTTTCCCCCGTGTGCCCCCCCCAATCCTACCGCGCTCATGCTGTCCCTCCGCGCGTGGGGCAGGTGGCAGTCGCAGCAGGCGGCCAAGGCAGGGCAGCGGGGCGGCCAGGGGGCGGTGGCAGTGGTGGAGGCGGACGGGGAGGGGGAGGGGGCGCAGGCGAGCATGGATGCTGCGCGCGCTGAGATGAGGACGTGGTGAGCTGAGCGCACTCGTGGGGGAGGGGTGAGCGCACTCATGGGGGAGGGAGGAGCGCACTCATGGGGGAGGGGGGAGCGGAGCGCACTCATGGGGGGAGGGGGAGCGCACTCATGGGGGAGGGGTGAGCGCACTCATGGGGGAGGGGTGAGCGCACTCATGGGGGAGGGGTGAGCGCACTCATGGGGGAGGGGGTAGGGGAAGTGGTGGCATTGGTGAGTGCGATGTGTGGCTAGTGCAAATGGCAGGTAGTGACATGCTAGCAGGTGGGAAGAGGCGTGAGAATGCAGGGATGGTGACTTTGAGTCGACTCAGAAGTCACCTGGATGTAATGTCACGCGACATTTTTTCAGGACGGAGGGCGATTTTGGCATGGAAATTGCCTAAGACAGTTGGAAGCTATTTAGTTTCTGCTCGTAAGTGCTGAAGTTAGTGTTACTGTAGAATTTCAATTTGAGCTTAGATTCAGGTTACTGTAGGAGTATCCGAGTCAGCCTGGGGTATATATAAACAAAATGTCTCCCACCACGGGTAAGAATCGCCCGTGCCTGTGGCCCGACCGAGGCACGGCCCTGCGCCCCCGCCAGCGGTTGGTGTGCACTGAGCCGGGCGATTCTTACCCGTGTCAGGCTGAAACTGCTGCCACGTAATGTCTCCCACCACGAAGTGGTGCTCCTCAGGTAGGAAGAGGTGTGCGAATGCAGGGATGGTGATTTGCGTGTAGCTCTCGAGACTGCACTCCTCCACCTGTTGCGTACTGTTCGCCTTCAGTGACGCCTGCGCCACTTGCGCAGGGCCGGCCGTGCCTCAGGCCCTTAGTTGAGAAAGACGCGTCCTGCGTCTTAGACGCACGCAGCGTCTTAGACGCAGGACGCAGCACCAGGGCATAGGAGACGCACCAAAAGACGCATGCCCGGGCAGGGCAAAAAAAACCCCCAGGCAGGCAAAAAAAAAGGTTATAGGGCATGGGAAGAGGGGAAGGGGGGATGTTCCACACATTCAATGCTTTTTTTTCCCCAACAACTTCTTTTTCCCCCAACAAATTAAGATCAAGTTGCGCTAGGAACCTAAAACCTCTAGGGTTTATGAAGGAGAGTTGGGTGGGTGGGTAAAATGAGAAAGCACAAATGACTTGCTTGCATTGCTAAATGGGCTTGGTGGTCGGCCACATTGGTTGGGTTTTCTAGATGTAGAGTGGTTGAGAAGGTTGGGATTCTCAATTTTGCATTAAGCGGTATGAAATGGTGCGGTAGCTGGTTTTGTAGGTCGATTTGGGCAGGGGGGGGTCGAAATTTCGCGAAATTGACATTCGCGTCGAAATCGCGAATGTCAATTTCGCGATCGGATTTTCTTTTCCGGTCAGCCCAAAAAACATTTTGCCGTGCGTCCGTGCGTCTAGACGCTGCGTCCAGACGCAGGACGCAGCGTCCCCCGAGCGTCTTTCTCAACTAAGCTCGGGCCACAGCTGACCGGCGGGCCACAGCTGACCGGCAGGCCACAAACTGACCGGCGGGCCACAAACTGACCGGCGGGCCACAGCTGACCGGCAGGCCACAAACTGACCGGCGGGCCACAAACTGACCGGCGGGCCACAAACTGACCGGCGGGCCACAAACTGACCGGCGGGCCACAAACTGACCGGCGGGCCGAGCTGTCAGTCCGGTTCAGCGTTTTTATTGGAATGGGAATGCAGAACACGTAATCCCGTTTTTGCGACGCTTAGTGTGTGTGATAACAAAGCCGCCACTTTTTCCTAACCTTTGCTCCGAACCTTCCATGTCATCCCGCTACGGTGCTACCTACAATGCGCGTCATTGGAGGTCGCGTTTTCTCATGCTATTCAGCTTAACGAGTGGCACATGGCTTCCTCCCACTAGCTGAATTGTATCCGTTCTCCTCACATCTCTTTCAAATCCCCAGCCAAACTCTGATCGCGGAATACCTTTTACCCTGCCAGTGGTTTTCTCGTGTCTTGTCTTATTGTGTTTTATGCATCCCCAGTAGAGTTGTGCCTGGCTAGCAGCACACACACAAGAAGAATGCCAAAAAGGCTGCTGCAGGATCGTGTCATTCGCGTCTGCTAGGATGACATGCCGCATTCGCGTCTGCTAGGATGACATGCCGCATTCGTGTCTGCTAGGATGACATGCCGCATTCGTGTCTGCTAGGATGACATGCCGCATTCGTGCCTGCTAGGATGACATGCCGCATTCGTGTCTGCTAGGATGACATGCCGCATTCGTGTCTGCTAGGATGACATGCCGCATTCGTGTCTGCTAGGATGACATGCCGCATTCGCGTCTGCTAGGATGACATGCCGCATTCGTGTCTGCTAGGATGACATGCCGCATTCGTGTCTGCTAGGATGACATGCCGCATTCGTGTCTGCTAGGATGACATGCCGCATTCGTGTCTGCTAGGATGACATGCCGCATTCGTGTCTGCTAGGATTACATGCCGCATTCGCGTCTGCTAGGATGACATGCCGCATTCGTGTCTGCTAGGATGACATGCCGCATTCGCGTCTGCTAGGATGACATGCCGCATTCGTGTCTGCTAGGATGACATGCCGCATTCGTGTCTGCTAGGATGACATGCCGCATTCGTGCCTGCTAGGATGACATGCCGCATTCGCGTCTGCTAGGATGACATGCCGCATTCGTGTCTGCTAGGATGACATGCCGCATTCGTGTCTGCTAGGATGACATGCCGCATTCGCGTCTGCTAGGATGACATGCCGCATTCGTGTCTGCTAGGATGACATGCCGCATTCGTGTCTGCTAGGATGACATGCCGCATCCGTGTCTGCTAGGATGACATTCCGTGTCTGCTAGGATGACATGCCGCATCCGTCGCCACATGCTGCGCTGTTCCCTGTCCGTCCCCTTACCGCCTCCTCCACCCTCCCCCCCATGCTCCTCCACCCTCCCCCCCATGCTGCTCCACCCTCCCCCCCATGCTCCTCCACCCTCCCCCCCATGCTCCTCCACCCTCCCCCCCATGCTGCTCCACCCTCCCCCCCATGCTCCTCCACCCTCCCCCCCATGCTGCTCCACCCTCCCCCCCATGCTCCTCCACCCTCCCCCCCATGCTCCTCCACCCTCCCCCCCATGCTGCTCCACCCTCCCCCCCATGCTCCTCCACCCTCCCCCCCATGCTCCTCCACCCTCCCCCCCATGCTGCTCCACCCTCCCCCCCATGCTCCTCCACCCTCCCCCCCATGCTGCTCCACCCTCCCCCCCATGCTCCTCCACCCTCCCCCCCATGCTCCTCCACCCTCCCCCCCCCGCTCCTCCGCCCACCCGTGTGACCGCCTCCCCGTGCATGTTGTGGCGCGTGTCCTTCCCACTGGCGCACCAGGTGGGCGGCACAGCAGGCGGGCAAGGCAGAGCAGGCGGGCATGGATGCTGCCCGCGCGCAGATGAGGGCGTGGTGAGAGGGAGGCGGGAGGGAGAGGGGCAAGGCAGATGGGGAAGGGAGAGAGGGAGGCGGGAGGGAGGGAGAGGGGGAAATAGGGAGCATGAGAGTTTGGCTGGGGGAATTGGGGGGAGAAATAAGGCGAGCTTGAGAGCCAGTGCTGCGTGTAGCAGCAGTAGCTGCCAGTTAGTGTTTCGTAGCAGATCAGATCAAATCAGATCGTGTGTCGTCATTCATTCGCGTGCCCCTGTGGCCGCTCTCCGCTTTCACCATGCGCTTGTCGCTTGCTTGCTGCACACCACCTCGCTGCCCCATGCCTGCCACCACCACCTCGCTGCCCCATGCCTGCCACCACCACCTCGCTGCCCCATGCCTGCCACCACCACCTCGCTGCCCCATGCCTGCCACCACCACCTCGCTGCCCCATGCCTGCCACCACCACCTCGCTGCCCCATGCCTGCCACCACCACCTCGCTGCCCCATGCCTGCCACCACCACCTCGCTGCCCCATGCCTGCCACCACCACCTCGCTGCCCCATGCCTGCCACCACCACCTCGCTGCCCCATGCCTGCCACCACCACCTCGCTGCCCCATGCCTGCCACCACCACCTCGCTGCCCCATGCCTGCCACCACCACCTCGCTGCCCCATGCCTGCCACCACCACCTCGCTGCCCCATGCCTGCCACCACCACCTCGCTGCCCCATGCCTGCCACCACCACCTCGCTGCCCCATGCCTGCCACCACCACCTCGCTGCCCCATGCCTGCCACCACCACCTCGCTGCCCCATGCCTGCCACCACCACCTCGCTGCCCCATGCCTGCCACCACCACCTCGCTGCCCCATGCCTGCCACCACCACCTCGCTGCCCCATGCCTGCCACCACCACCTCGCTGCCCCATGCCTGCCACCACCACCTCGCTGCCCCATGCCTGCCACCACCACCTCGCTGCCCCATGCCTGCCACCACCACCTCGCTGCCCCATGCCTGCCACCACCACCTCGCTGCCCCATGCCTGCCACCACCACCTCGCTGCCCCATGCCTGCCACCACCACCTCGCTGCCCCATGCCTGCCACCACCACCTCGCTGCCCCATGCCTGCCACCACCACCTCGCTGCCCCATGCCTGCCACCACCACCTCGCTGCCCCATGCCTGCCACCACCACCTCGCTGCCCCATGCCTGCCTGCCACCACCGCCTCTTATCTCCGCCCCTTCTTGTGCGCCCCTGCATGTGCGTCCCCTCCTGCCGCAGGTGGGTGCAGCAGCAGCAGGCCAAGGCCATGGACGTGGCGCGCGCAGCCATGAGGCAGTGGTGAGAGGCATGAGGCAGTGGTGAGAGGCATGAGGCAGTGGTGAGAGGCATGAGGCAGTGGTGAGAGGCATGAGGCAGTGGTGAGAGGCATGAGGCAGTGGTGAGAGGCATGAGGCAGTGGTGAGAGGCATGAGGCAGTGGTGAGAGGCATGAGGCAGTGGTGAGCAGGCATGAGGCAGTGGTGAGCAGGCATGAGGCAGTGGTGAGCAGGCATGAGGCAGTGGTGAGCAGGCATGAGGCAGTGGTGAGCAGGCAGGGGAAGCGAGAGCAGGTAGGGGAAGGTTGCCCGTAAAACAAATCTGAGTCGTCACTAGCTCTCCACCAGATCGGATTTGTTTTACGGCCCCAGAAAGGCAGTCATCGATCGCCAGGGATCAGCAGTGATGGATCTGTTTGCTCTTCCATGTGCTGCCCATGTAGCTGCCTGCCGTGCCCTACAGTCAGGGGGGCCATCCTCACTTGTTTGTATTGTAGCATTCGTTGGAGTGATTGCATAAGTTCTGGCGATAACCTTTGCCGAGTTCGCGATGCAGGCGGCATCAAAACAAGTAAGGTTTGACGAAACATCAGAAACGCTCCCCGTTATGCCAAGATCTTTGAGTCTTTCTATCTGTCTTGTTAAACCCAAGGGTAAATGCCACCCCGCTTACTGTGTTCTTTCCTGAGATTTACTGCTGGCCCGTAACTGTATTTAATCCAAAAATAACATCTGGCCAGTTGACTTGAAATGTGTGTGGTGCAGCATTCCCTCCCTCTCAAGCATGCACTCTTCTTGCCTCGTTGTTCCACCTCCCTGTGTGGGCCAGGTGGATGGAGCAGCAGCACGGCAAGGCCATGGAAGCAGCGCGTGCAGAGATGAGGCAATGGTGAGTGTGGTGTGGTGTGGTGTGGTGTGGTGTGGTGTGGTGTGGTGTGGTGTGGGCCACGCCACGCGGAGGTGCCGGTTGCTTGCGCCACTCGGCCTCGTGAGATGTATCTCATGCCTCACTCGTTTGCATCTGCTGTGCATGCATGCTGTCACCGCGTGTGCATTCATGCCATCCATGCTCACGCATTTCTTGAAGCTGAACATATGATATGTATGTGAAACGGCTATATACTCCCGGAGACCACATGTACATGCATTGTTTTACGTATTTGCATTTGTTTTGTCAGTCTTACGCTTGCGCCTGTCAGTCGGTCAGTCTGTCCCACTGTCCACCGCTGGTCGCTCGTCTCCTCTCCTCTCGTCTCTCCCTGCCACTCCTTGTCTGCCAGGTGGGTGCAGCAGCAGCAGGGCAAGGCCATGGATGCAGCACGAGCAGACATGAGGCAATGGTGAGGGCCACAGGGGGGGGTTGAGGTGGAGGTTGGGCAGGGGAAGCGAGTCTGCCAGTGGGGGCACAAGGAGGGCGCCCGTCCTCTCTCGCATTGCTGCGCTCACAGCTGCTGCCTGTATGTCGATGACCTTATCCCAGCCCAGCTGCCATATTGATCTTATTTTGTGAGCGCTGAGCTCTGATGGCTGCGACTAGGTGAGGTGCGGCGACTTGAAATTCAAAAGCTACGCTCGTGCACAATTTGTCATCTCTTGACATGCTTGTGGAACTGAACTGTTCTTCGCTTCGGCCCAACTGATTCCCGGTGAACCCGACTGAGCCGCAACGGATCGAACCCGTTTGAGTCCCTTAGGCGGCTCCAAAGCACGTGTAACCGAACCCGCTCGTCTCGTAATTAGCTGTACGCCAAATCGCTCGCGACTTGGGCCAACGTTAATCCAAATCGGTTCAACCCCAACCACGCGTGCTTGGAGCAATCAGGTTGAGGTTCAAGAGGGGTGGTGGGCTCTCACACCGCTCTGAGCCCCAACCATTTCGTCTAAAAGCTATCGAATAATTTCAGTTTATGATATCTGTGGTCTCCCTGCCCCCTTTCACCCCGCGCCATGGTGGCAGGTGGGTGCAGCAGCAGCAATCCAAGGTGGAGGCAGCAGGTGCAGCGAGCATGGAGCAGGGCAGATCGCAAATGAGGGCCTGGTGAGCAAGCGCAGGGGGGGGTGCCTTGAGGTGGGTGCAGGTTGGATCATGCTTATGTTGGCAAATGCGTGTATCGCGTATTATACTCAATACTGGTCTGTCCCGGGTCAAACGGGAGTTGGGTTTGACTCCCTGCTCATACCCCATGCTCATGCCCATGCCCATGCCCATGCCCATGCCCATGCCCATGCCCACTGCACAACCTCATTCATGGTCCACTTGTGCATCAGACTAAGCCCATCCAGGTTCTCTGGAGCCCATCCAGGTTCTCTGGAGCCCATCCAGGTTCTCTGGAGCCCATCCAGGTTCTCTGGAGCCCATCCAGGTTCTCTGGAGCCCATCCAGGTTCTCTGGAGCCCATCCAGGTTCTCTGGAGCCCGGCTCTGGTGGGCCCGCCCTGGGTGCCGTCGAAAATGGATTGGCGGGCGAAATTGCCGATGTTGCGGATATTGCGGATAGTCAGTTAGGTTGGCAGGTCGGTCGACCCGACCCGCCTCTATAAGCGCGGGTCGGGTTGGCTCCCCCCGGGTTCCTGACCTGAGGTCGGGCCGACGGGTACTCAGCTTGGGTCGAACATAGTTGGGTTTCGGGCCACTCTCTCATCCTCTCGATTCTTGCCTCCTAGATGTTTGCCCCTTAGAATCCACGTTAATTCATGTATAGTTTATGGATCTGCCCAGCATCTAGATTCGTAACGTGTCGCGATTCCAAAGTCCCACTTGCTGTGTTCTCACAAGCCACGCCCCACCCACCTCCAAGCCAAGGAGGCCGCCGCGCGACAGCCCGGGGCGGGCCGGTCTCGGCCCGGCGGCCGGCCATTGCTTATATAAGTAATTACGAGTTAAACGTTGTGCAAACAGCCATGCATCTCTGAGTACGCGACACAATGTCTCAAACCAATTGGCCAACAATCCTGGCCAGTTTTTCTCACTCAGACTGAATGAACGAATCTTGACAGCACTTTCAGTGTTGTTGTTTGGTCGAAGACAGCTTGTTGGGCCTTTGGGTCTAAAACACTTCATTCCTGCCTTCCCTGCCACTCTTGTACCCCCCCAGGTGGGTGCAGCAGCAGCAGGGCAAGGCCATGGATGCAGCGCGAGCAGACATGAGGCAATGGTGAGAGCCATGGCATGCTCACTTGGATCCGTCACTTCACTTGATGCTGCTCCACGAATATTCGGCCGCCCGTCCTCTTCGAGTCAGGTCGAATCGAACCAGTCCAGGTTCAAGCCATGCCCATGTTTGTTTGGAATGACCAATAATTTTGGCCAATATTCTCCACTCGGATTGAAATAGCAGTAATCTAGCCAAATTACTGAACCGCATTAAAATCTACGGTAACACAGTTTTTCACACGGGTTTGAGCGCGCTTATTTTCTTTAACCTTGTTCATAATCTTGTCGAGGTTTCCCAACGTTGTTAGCCAGATTTTGCGCGAGCCAACTATTTCACTGCATTTGCTTGGACAGGAGCACCTTGTCCAGCCATCTGCTTCACACCATTCCTGCCTTCCCTGCCACTCCTGTTCCTCCAGGTGGGTGCAGCAGCAGCAGGGCAAGGCCATGGATGCAGCACGAGCAGAGATGAGGCAATGGTGAGAGCCATGGCATGCTCACTTGGATCCGTCAGTTCATTCATTAAGTGTGCTTTCAGCTGCCCGTCCGCTTCGAGTCCGGACGAATTGAACCAGTTCAGATTCAAGCCTTGCCCATGTCTATTTGAATAGCCAATCATTTTGGCCAAAATGATTGAAACAGTATCTGCCAAACTCAATGAACGAAGTCAAAATTCATGTCACGATAACAGAATTTTCGGCACGGGTTGGAGCACGGCTATTTTCTTGAACCTTGTTTATAATGTGTGGAGTTTCCCAACAATAATGAGCATTTTCATTGAATGCTGTGGGCCAAATTTTCCACCGGCCATTAAGTTCAGTGTGTTTGCTCGGACAGGAGCAGGTTGTTGTGCCTTTGGGTTAAAGCCCCAAAGGCACAAGGAGCACCTTGTCCAGCCACCTGCTTCACACCATTCCTGCCTTCCCTGCCACTCCTTATCTGCCAGGTGGGTGCAGCAGCAGCAGGGCAAGGCCATGGATGCAGCACGAGCAGAGATGAGGCAATGGTGAGAGCGATGCCATTCTCACTCGAATCCGTGAATTTATTCCACTCTTCATTCATCATTGATTGCCGTCTGGTGCTGCTCAAAGAGGTGGTGGTTCGGCAGTAGTGCATGGCGATCACTATTGCAACGACGCATGCAGTAGTGCATGGCGATCACTATTGCAACGACGCATGCAGTAGTGCATGGCGATCACTATTGCAACGACGCATGCAGTAGTGCATGGCGATGACTATTGCAACGACGCATGCAGTAGTGCATGGCGATCACTATTGCAACGACGCATGCAGTAGTGCATGGCGATCACTATTGCAACGACGCATGCAGTAGTGCATGGCGATCACTATTGCAACGACGCATGCAGTAGTGCATGGCGATCACTATTGCAACGACGCATGCAGTAGTGCATGGCGATCACTATCGCAATGACGCATGCAGTTTTTGCATGGTGTCGCGTTATTAACACCTAGCCGTCGGCTAAGGTGTGAATTACACAGCAGCCAGGTAATGGTGCATTTCTGGTTTTGTATTCTAATTTCGTTTGTGTGCTTAGTATGAATGCATACGCTTTACAGAGCCGAGTAGCTGAAGGAATTTGAGGTGGATGGTGGGAGGCGGATTCAAGGTGGTTGGTGGGAGGCGAATTCAATTCCAGCATGTAAATTCAATTTCGAATTTACCTGGGTGGAAGGCGGTGCATGCCTAGTGGGCCCAGTGGGACCCAGCTTGCACCTTGGAACCCCCACGAGCAGCCCGGCTGACTCGCTTGGTGCACAGGAGCTTGCTTGTGGCTGAAGCAACCTAGGCAGGAGGGGGAATAGATGTAGGCAGGAGTAGCACTCGGGCTTCTTGCTTTTTGCTTGTATGTTTCTCTTCTTACTGTAATCTTGTTTTCCTAAGCCAAAGGAAGCTAGCAGTAGGGAGAAGCAGAAGTAATCTGACTGAGCCCTTGCGAGGGAGTTAAGACTTTTTTCAAAAAAAAGCAAAAAGCAAGGCTAAAAGTCTGAGTTCTTAGCAGAACAGGTACAAACGCCTGGAGGGCCTATGGTGATGCACCGTAAGGGATGAGCGGCCTTGATCAAGAGTTACACACTCATCAGCTGCATTCAGGTTACAGATTTCCTGCGCGGAGGATGGAGGGACAAGATCAGCCGACTAGGACGCCCGGGTTTCGAGCAGGAGAAGGAACAGCGAACGCGAGTGGTAATAGCAGCGCGGATCAAGGAAAGGATGGCGACAGACGGAGAGAGCAGCCACCGAGCTCAAACTGCAATTCGCCCGCTCCAGGGATGGGATCCCGATCAGCTGGGGTTGGCGGATCTCAGCGCGGAACACCAAAACCGAGAGTGGGAGACCACCATGAAGATCAGCCGAGCCAGCGAGAAGGAGAGGCGTATCACGGATTCTCGGCTGGAAGATACGAATCCATGGAGGCCGGAAGAGGAGATCAACCTGTTGGGATTGGCGAGAGGGTAACGGCGAGCTGGGGAACAGGTAGAACGGTAAGCGTCACACCACCTAAGATCGAGGTGCCGGATCGCTTCTCAGGAGCGCCTGGAGAAGAGCCCACACTGAAGAATTACCTGATGATGGTGGACGACATCCGATACTGCTGGGAGAGAGAGGGGTTCGATCCCATTGAATTTTTCAAGGGATTGGGGAGGACACTCAAGGGAGAAGCGCTGACACACTACCGGGTGGAGAGACAAGGGTTACTGATGCAGAGTAAGCGGGGAGACTTCGCGCCGGCGGAAATCACAGACCGATTCCTAGAAAGCCTGCGAGAACAATTCCCTGGGCATTCGGCAGATCGGATGATAGAGTTCCAAGATTTTAAGAGAGCGAGAGGAGATTCTTTGCTAGCTTACTACAACCGATTGCTCGAGCTTGCAAAAGACATGGGTTGCCTGGAAGAACGGACCTTAGTGTCGAAGTTTTTGGGAGGATTAGAGGAAGACCTGATGCAAGATATGTGGAGCCGACTGTACGAGTTGGGGATGAAGGCGAAATTGCGGCAAGTGTATCAGGTGGCAAAAGAGGTAGAGGAGGGAAGAAGATTCTTTGATGGGTTACGCGGAGCGAGCTCAAGTAGAACAGGCGAACGCAGGAGGCCTGCGTGGGCTGCGGTGGAAGGAAAACGGATAGAGGAGGAACGGAGGGAGAAACCATTTGAAGACAAGCGCCGGTGCCACAAGTGCGGAGAATCGGGGCATGTGCGAAAGGATTGCGCTATTGACATCATATGCGACACCTTCAAGGAGAAAGGGCATGTCAGGCGTAATTGTCCCAAGGCGCCGATCTGTACCTTCTGTAGGAAACAGGGTCATACGGACGAGAGGTGCTACAGCAAGAGAGAGAAGGCGGGAGAAAAAACCGCTAGAGAACAGCAGCTGGAGCGGGAAATCGCAAAGTTGAAAGCACAGATGGGTAAGGCGGAGATCAGCGAAGATCCAGAGAAGGCACTACTAGCATGGGAAGACGAGGAAGAGGAAGATTACGGAGAGGACGAAGCTGAGTACGTGACGATGGCCATGTCACCCAGGGACCGAGAAAGTTTGGGATTGAGGAGTGGAGGGAAGGACGGTAGAGCAGAGCAGAAGCAGCCGGTGAGGAGAACTTCTAAGGCACCTGAAGGGACCGACAAGCCGAAGACAGCTCGGCGGCACCCTGAAGAGAGACTGGTCTACCAACCCACAGCTCTAGTGGTGGAACCGAAGGCAGTAGCGGTACGAGGTATACTAGTAGAAAAGGCGGTGGATACAGGTGCACAGAGTGTGTTGCTGGGAAGGAAGCTGACGGAGCAGTTAAAGGCGCAAGGAAGTTGGGAAACAGTGAGCCGAGGGTGCAGTGCGGACTGACGGAATCTGACGACTACGACATTCCACTGGGAATGGAGCTGCTATACAAGATAGGAACTACGATATGCACCTGGCTTAGATTTCTGGGAGGAAGGGAAGGAGCTGAGTGAGTTGCCGGTGCGTTTCATCAAGACTGAACCAAAGAAAGCCTAGAGAGTAGGGGGCATGGGGAGAGAAGGAAGTAAAAGCGTTGGGAAGGTCATGGGAATCCGGCCTGGGGCAAGCATAGACCAGTATAGCGTCACGCTAGTGGAGCTTGGGGGGGTTGGGACATGGCTCGTTGCATGGCGCATGGCTCGTTGCATGGCGCATGGCTCGTTGCATGGCGCATGGCTCGGTGCATGGCGCATGGCTCGTTGCATGGCGCATGGCTCGTTGCATGGCGCATGGCTCGTTGCATGGCGCATGGTTCGTTGCATGGCGCATGGCTCGTTGCATGGCGCATGGCTCGTCGCATGGCGCATGGCTCGTCGCATGGCGCATGGCTCGTCGCATGGCGCATGGCTCGTCGCATGGCGCATGGCTCGTCGCATGGCGCATGGCTCGTTGCATGGCGCATGGCTCGTCGCATGGCGCATGGCTCGTTGCATGGCGCATGGCTCGTTGCATGGCGCATGGCTCGTTGCATGGCGCATGGCTCGTTGCATGGCGCATGGCTCGCTGCATGGCGCATGGCTCGTTGCATGGCGCATGGCTCGTCGCATGGCGCATGGCTCGTCGCATGGCGCATGGCTCGTCGCATGGCGCATGGCTCCTTGCATGGCGCATGGCTCGTCGCATGGCGCATGGCTCGTCGCATGGCGCATGGCTCGTTGCATGGCGCATGGCTCCTTGCATGGCGCATGGCTCGTCGCATGGCGCATGGCTCGTTGCATGGCGCATGGCTCGTTGCATGGCGCATGGCTCGTTGCATGGCGCATGGCTCGTTGCATGGCGCATGGCTCGCACAAAGGACACACGCATGGCCCTGCCCTGCCGCTCACGCTGGTACCTGGGTGCATGGGTGCATGGGTGCATGGGTGCATGGGTGCATGGGTGCATGGGTGCATGCTGGTGGATGGCGCAGGTGGCGGGGAAGAGGGCGGCAGTGGCGGAGCAGCTTCTGGCGGAGCAGGATGAGTCGCGCTCCCAGCTCAATGCATGGTGGGTGCCATGGGTGGGTGCCATGGGTGGGTGCCATGGGTGGGTGCCATGGGGGGTGCCATGGGTGGGTGCCATGGGTGGGTGCCATGGGTGGGTGCCATGGGTGGGTGCCATGGGTGGGTGCATCCTCCATTTCTACACCACCATACCCCACCATGCATGCACCACTATACCACCATACCATGCACCACCATACCATGCACCACCATACCATTCACCACCATACCGTGCACCACCATAGCATGCACCACCACACCATGCACCATCATACCATGCACCATCATACCATGCACCACCACACCATGCACCATCATACCATGCACCATCACACCATGCACCACCACACCATCACACCACCAAAAATGTCAAGTGCTCCCCTCCTCTCCTTGCTGTGTGTGTGATGGCTGGGCAGGGCGGTGGGCAAGTGGAGGGCGGTGCTGGGGGAGGCGGAGCAGCAGGCGGAGGAGGCGAGGCTGGAGGTCATGGAGGCTGCCAGGGCGCAGATGCGCCAGTGGTGAGTGCCATCACGGGGTGACTCGATGCATTAGCTATTGGAGCTCAAGGGCTCTCTAAGTACATCAGAAATGGGAAGGAAAAGGATGGGTAGGAAACCAGGGACAATCCCCAATGAGATCAGCTAAAATCTCCAATTGGTGGGTTGTAGATTTCAGTTGATCACATTTGGATATAGGTGTAACAGACAACCCATGAAAATAACAGTTACACTAAACTAGGACATAGAACGTACTACAGAAGTTGAGACGGCTAACTCTAACAGTAATTGGAAGCAGTGGTGAGTGGCATGCTATGACTTGCTTGCAAATTCGATCTTTCCTTGCTGCCTGCATTCTTCTTTTCCCCGTCCTCTCGATGCTGCCATGTGGCGCCAGGTGGACGAATCAGTTGGAGGAGAAGGCAGTGAAGCTGGCGGAGCAGGCAGCGGCGGCGGTGGAGGCAGAGGCAGCCATGTATGTGGCGGCTGCGGCTGACTTTGGTGGCAGGGAGGAGGGCGACCTGAGCGACGACGAGCTCATCGCCTCCGATGATGAGGAGCAGATGGTACGCGTGCAGCGCATGGTACGCGTGCAGCGCATGGTACGCGTGCACATGGCATGGCGTGAAACTCTACCTGCACTGCAACGTTCGTCCCTTTCTCCTCGTCTCGCCAGTTTCCACTCCTTCATTTGCTCCTCCTATAACGCGTCCCGTCTTCCTCTATGTCCGGGGTGCATGGGTCCGTCCCTGGTGGGTGCAGGAGGTGGCATCGAGCATGGTGGATCTCAGCGACATGGAGCGCGCCGTCATCGAGCGCGAGATCACCCGCTACCGCGCCAGGCGTGAGGCCAAGCGCGCCTTCTGGGAGCGCGATGTGCAGCGCGCCATGGACCGCAACCGCAAGGCCATGCGTGAATGGTGAGGCAGCTCACGGGGGTTTCTTGTACTACTTGAATTTCTAGGAAGCTTTATCGTTTCGTTTCCTTATGTTGCTTAAGCGTTTCTTCAGGTTTGCAGCTATTCCATTTTGAGTTTGGAAGCTCACGGGGACAGGGGAGTCACGTGCCCAGCGATCATTGCTCGTGCTGTTCCCACCCTCGCTCTCCTGCCTCTGCCAACTCTGCCCCCTAGGGTACTCAACCATTTTCTTGCCTCTCTGTCTTCCCTTTCCCCACCCAATACCCCCTGCGCAGGTGGTTGCAGCAGTGGGGGGCGAAGCAGAGGGCCAATGGGTGGGGCGACAACCCGCCCGTGTGGCGCCTCAAGCTCACCGCGGGCAGCGCGGACACGCCAGGTGGCAGCACGGCATTGGAGGACGTGGAGGTGGCGGGCAAGGGCGTGACGCTGGGCCTCCTCCCCCAGCCGCAGGACGGCTCGCGACCCATCGAGCTGCACCTCAAGGGGGTGAGTGGCGCTGCACCTCAAGGGGGTGAGTTTGCTTGTGCAATGGTTGTCACCGTGTGCCGAGTGGTTGCAGTGGTCCACTGTATCCTGCCACTCCTTGCCCTCCCAATGGGAGGCTCCCATGCACCTCTCGCACCACCCACTCCCCACTGTGTGTGTGGCTGACAGGTGTCATTCTCGCATGCGGTGGTGTATGGAAAGGACAAGTTCATGGGGTTCGGCAGCTACAAGCGCGAGTACTTCATCGCCGACCTGGGCTCCACCACCGGCACCTTCCTCAACGGGTCCAACTCCTCCCCTGCCTGCCCCCCTCTCTGCCCGCCCTCCCCACTCTGCGCAACGCCTGCCTCTCCTCTCTGCACTTCTCCCTTTCCTTCTCCCTTCCCTGCTCTCCTTCCTTCTCTCTGCTCTGCCCTGCTCTCCTTCCTTCTCTCTGCTCTGCCCTGCTCTCCTTCCTAATCTCTGCTCTGCCCTGCTCTCCTTCCTTCTCTCTGCTCTGCCCTGCTCTCCTTCCTTCTCTCTGCTCTGCCCTGCTCTCCTTCCTTCTCTCTGCTCTGCCCTGCTCTCCTTCCTTCTCTCTGCTCTGGGCTCTGCTCCTTTCTGCGTTGCACACTGCCGTGCTCGCTGCCATGGTCGCTGCCCTGCTCTGCCGTGACATGGTGTGGCACAGACGCATGCATCCACGTGCGCACACCCTCACCATGCACACCCTCACCATGCACACCCTCACCATGCACATGCAATTCTTTTGCCAATGCCACCACGCGTCCCTCACAGCCACCTCTCATCTGCTGCCTGTCCACTGTGCCCCTGTCCCCCTTTCTCCCCTGTTTCTCCTGTCCCCCTGTCGCCGTGTGCCCCTCTGGCCCTGTCTCTCCTGTGCGAGCGCAGGAAGCTGCTGGGAGTGAATGCGCCACGCAAGCTGGCCAATGGTGACGTCATCAAGCTGGGGCCTGAGGTGAGTTGCTGTGTGCTTGTCACCACCACTGCACCACACCACACTGCACCACACCACACTGCACCACACCACCACTGCACCACACCACACTGCACCACACCACCACTGCACCACACCACACTGCACCACCATCACGTGGGGCTGACATGCGGCTTGCATGGGGCTCAGATGGGGCTGACACGGGGCAGAGGATTGCCAGTCATTTGAGCTCATTGGTGCAGCACATGTCACTCCGTGCCGTGCCGTGCACCGCTGCATGCCATCTCTTCCACGCTTCGCCATGCACGCCATCTCCCTCGCCTTGCCACCCCTCTCTCCCGGTCCGGTCCTCACCGCCCTCAGGTTGAGTTGGTGGTGGCTGACCCCTCTCTCTCGCCCTGACCTCGCCTCCCATGCTCTGCCATGCCGGCCCAAGGGCTCACCTAGTCACATGAGGGTGTCGTGTCTCTGCCTCTACAATGATCCGCTGCTCACTTGACGGAGGTCACTGCTGTACCTCGTGTGTCGTGTTCTGGTCGTCCTCTGTGCAACTGGTGATATTAAAGCATGTAGCGATGGCAACTACCGTAGTAATTAAATTGATTTTTGTGGAATTACCAGTGTGTTCTCCAGGGGGGTATAAACAGCTTGACAGCTAACTTCCGTAAAATGTATTTCCTTAAAACAAGGACTGGCATAAAAGCACATCCTTCAACACATGGGGCATGCATCACGGTGTTATCTACCACAGTCCCCCCATGGCGCGCTGCTGCACGCCACGAACATGGAGACAGCGACTCGGGGTCTCTAACATGAGGAGCCATGCCTCCCTCACATCTCATCACACCCCACTTGCACCAAGTGCCAGGTGCTGTCGACAACTCGCACGGCACAGCCTCGCGTGATTCGTGTCGTGCTGCGCGTGCCCGCCGTCATGCGGTGCTCTGCACGCGCGCGTTCGCACCTGCGCGCACAGGGATGGGAATGAAGCCAAGTCAGAGGTGCGAGAGCGGGAGAGACGCACGACGGGGAGGCACAGCACCGGCAGCGCGGGTGGGAGTGTGAGCGTGCAATGTCGGAGGAGTGCGCCCACACGACTGGGCGCCCTCTCCCCATGGCACGCTCTCCGTCGCTTTCCGCCCTGTAAGGACCCTCGGATGGAAGGCGCAGCGCGCAGCTGATGCCAATCCGACGGTCTTCGTAGAGCGATGAGCGTCTCTTGCATTCTCTCGTAAGCATAGATCGCACAAATGGTTCGAGATATGAGGGACGAGCCGCGCACCCGATGTATTGCGAGCCGCGCTGAGAGCCACGAGGTTACGAGGAACGACACGCGCCTGAGCGCGCCTGCCATCAGTCGATGTCCCGCACCCGTGCCGCTCCGGGCGCCGCAGCCATGCGCACTGCCGTAGCACGCGCATATTGGGGGGAGAGGGGGAGGGGAGAGGAGGGAAAGGAAGAGCAGGACGGGAGGGGAGGAGACGAGGTTAGAGGGCTTCGGGGAGAGGCGTAGAAAGATGGCTTCGGGGAGAGGCGTAGAAAGATGGCTTCGGGGAGAGGCGTAGAAAGATGGCTTCGGGGAGAGGCGTAGAAAGATGGCTTCGGGGAGAGGCGTAGAAAGATGGCTTCGGGGAGAGGCGTAGAAAGATGGCTTCGGGGAGAGGCGTAGAAAGATGGCTTCGGGGAGAGGCGTAGAAAGATGGCTTCGGGGAGAGGCGTAGAAAGATGGCTTCGGGGAGAGGCGTAGAAAGATGGCTTCGGGGAGAGGCGTAGAAAGATGGCTTCGGGGAGAGGCGTAGAAAGATGGCTTCGGGGAGAGGCGTAGAAAGATGGCTTCGGGGAGAGGCGTAGAAAGATGGCTTCGGGGAGAGGCGTAGAAAGATGGCTTCGGGGAGAGGCGTAGAAAGATGGCTTCGGGGAGAGGCGTAGAAAGATGGCTTCGGGGAGAGGCGTAGAAAGATGGCTTCGGGGAGAGGCGTAGAAAGATGGCTTCGGGGAGAGGCGTAGAAAGATGGCCAGCAGCACGGGAGAAAGGCGAGACGAGTTGGCGCGAGTGAATGTGCGGCGGTGCGGAGAGCGCGCGCGGCGAGAGGCACGCGCACTCGAAGGAGCACCGGCAGCGGGATGCGAGGCCCGCGGCGGTCGCTGTGCGCTCTCATGGAACCGACGGCCACCGCGCCCCCCCCGCTTGCACGGCGAGGGCGAGCCGGCGGTTCTTGGGAGAGCGCGTCGAGGAGCAAAAAAAGAAATCGCGTAATGAGCAGCGCGGAACGCAGGAAGCTGACAACACAATTGTAAGCGGCAAGGCGAAAGGTAGGAACGGACAGATCTGTTGGCGCGAGATAGTGTGATCACTCAAGGCATGCTCCGTGGCAGCATTAAGAGACGCGAGGCACAGACGTGAAGGCAGCGGAGAGCAACTGGAGAGCGGAAGGGTTTCTGGGCGGATGAGAGGGTACTGGTGCGGTCGAGGTCCTCTCCCCTGAAACCCAGAACCACGCGCTTCATCGTGTTTGAGGAGACCTGGCTTCTGAACGCGAGGCACGCTCCAGAGAAGGGCTTATGTTATCAGGGCAATTACCCTGTTTTGACTGAAATTATAAGGTTTTTTTTCGATGAACCCTGTTTTTCACAAGGTAGCTTTTGGACGAGCGCGGAAAACAGGAGGGTGATTTTTGAAACAGCTCGGATCTCTCCGGGATGTTTTCGAGTGGACCCGGATAGTTTAAGCAACACCTATTTTCCCCGACCTGCTCCACTCCTGGTTTTGCCTCCAAGTGTTTGATTTCTCTCCTCAGATTCTATACAGAGTCTATCTTGCTACCCTCTAGAGAATCTCCTACCCTCCAAAGATTTTTTCTAAGTCCACAATCTCCATCCCTCTACAGCCGCTCCTTCATATATAGAGGAATTTTTTCGAAGTCTAAACAAGTCTCTCTTACCCCTCTAGAGGCGCTCCATCTTCTCCAATCCCCCCAGCCCTCGTGCTGCTGCATAGCCCGCGGTGAGTTTCGCGAAATTCTGGTAATGCAGGTTATCAGGTCTTTTTTTGCTCGAACCCGGATTCGTGAAGGCTTATTTCCCGCTGGCTCGGATTTTACAGGGTCTTTTTCACAGGGGCCCGGATCGTCCGAGCTAGCAAAAATCCTAGCAATAGCTCTGCTCCAGAGCCGTGGCTAGTCGTAGTGCAAGCTGGTTGTGAGCAGTGGTGAGCGGTTGAGCGCCGTCCCGAACCAACTAGGACCAAGTCAAGGCGTTCTGCAGTAGGGCTTCCCCATAAGCCCTGATCCTATAATTTAAGCTTTTGTATACATTTGAAAAAGGGAGGTTCAAAAGTTTTGAATTTGAAATATTGGTAACCCCATTACAACTACTTCCCTTGCTGAACAAGGGAGGGAGATGTCCCCGACACCCAGCACTCACTGGTGATTCAAAACTTTTGGGTCGACAAAAGTATACGAAATCCAAATTCTTTCATATCTACGTCACTACGCTCTAGAGGCAGCATAACTCAACAGCCAGCTCAAATTTCCTAGCTTCCGACACAAACCTAGACGCGTGGGTGTAAATACGAGTCCAAACCAACGTCAGTTCCGCCCTCTCCCACTGCGACCCCGCCGGACCCCTTCTCACAGCCTCGCCTTGACGTCCGTCGCGTCGTCGAACACGCGTGTCCTCCTCACGCCATCATGAACGCGCACCACTACGCTGCCCAAACTGAGATGGACAAGGGGGGGGGGGGGGGGGGGGGGGGGTAATGAGAGGGAGAATGGGGAGAAACGCAGGGGTGAAGGGGGGAAATGAGAGGGAGGTGGGGGGAATTGAGCAGGAGAAGGGGGAAAATGATCGTGAGCAAGGGGGAAATGAGAGGGAGAAGGGGGGAGTTGAGAGGAGCAAGGGGGGATGTTAGGGAGAAGGGTTGGAATGTGGATGAGCGTGGGGGAAAGTGAGATGGAGAAGGGGAGTATGTCAGTGTGAGCAGGGGGAGAACTGCCTGGTAGAAATGGGGAAGACGAGGGGGGGCAAGGGGGAAAATAAGAAGGAGCAAGGGGGGAAATGAGAGTGAGCAAGGGTGGAAGTGAGAGGCGGCAAGGGTGGAACTGAGGGGGAGCACGGATGGAAGTGAGAAGGAGCAGGGGGGGAAATGACGGGGAGCAAGGGGGGAATAGGAAGGGAGAAGGGCGGAAACGAGGGTGAGAAGAGGGGGAAATGAGAGGGAGCAAGGGGGGAAATGAGAGTGAGCAAGGGTGGAAGTGAGAGGTGGCATGGGTGGAAATGAGGGGGAGCAGTGGGGGAAGTGATAAGGAGCAGGAGGGGAAACGAAGGGGAGCAGCGGGGAAAATGAGAGAGAGTAGGGGGGAAAATGAGGGCGAGAAGGGGGCGGGCTGAGAGGGAGAAAAGGGGTTTTGAGAGGGAGTAGCGGGGTAATGACAGGGAGAAGGAAGGGGGAGGATGACAGGGAGAAAAGGGGGATTTGTGAGCGAGAAGGGTCAAATTTGATAGGAAAATAAGGGTACATAAAGGAGGGGGAGAAGGGGGTTGAAACGAGAAGGACAAGGGGGTGTAATGAGAGGGAGATTGGGGGGAAATGAGAAGTAGAAGAGGGGCAAAAGAGGAGGAGAAGGGGGGGTAATGAGGGGGAGAAGGGGGGTAAAATGAGGGGGAGAAGGGGGGCCGGTTAAAGCAGTCCACTCGGCTGGTACGATGTGACTTAGGAGCAGGTATTGTTCGACAAGAAAGAGCCAACGGCTCACGACTGGTTGGTTTCTCCCGGGAAAGAAAAAATCAGGAAGAGCGCGCTGATTTCCATCCGAAGGTGCAGCAAGCCTCGAGGTAGGTGCCGTCGCTCCAGCTGCAGCTATACTAGCTTGCATCTCTGCTTGCAAGCTCTCTCTAACTTCAGCAACAAGTTGGGCTCGGTACGTTTCCAAGTAGCTTGCCCATTCATCACGAGAAGGTACCTTACTAGTCGTCATGACGCTTTTCTCAAGAAAAGGAAGATCGAAGATAGCTCGGATACCAAATGAAACAGCCACTAAGCTGTTTTGGCAGAGTAGTAGTAGTAGAGGGTAGTTTTAGAAGAATTCCAAGAAGAAAGTAGCAAGATAGCTTTACAAGGGATCATATGATGGCTTACATTTCAGAGATACATCCTATTATACTAGGATACTAGCAATGGCGCCTTGAGCAGGTCGCTCAGGTCGCCTTTCACATTCCTATAGCTAAGAACAGCAAGGCATAGTCATTATAATTATGTACAAGACATCATAGCCTTGTTGTCATATCCTAGAACTAATTAGCAAAGTCTAGGAACTCATTAAGGTAATGGGCAGAGATCCTTTGTCTTGTTGTCGTCCATGTTGTCATTATTAATCATGAGTAGAAGCTGCGTTGGAAGAAGG